ATATATATATTTATAATATATTTATATATTTATATATCTTCACGAGAGTATGCGTCGATTAATCTTTGTATTTATCATTTATACACTGCAGCCGCTCGCCAGTCGTCGCATTCAACCGCGAGCGTCCCTTTCGACATTATGTCTTTGAGTTATTTTTTCGCTGTTAAGCCCAAACTACAAAAATAATGAATCCGTGTAACGAATCTGTATCCGGCACTCTTCTTTTTATCGTAGAGAGGATCAAGAAATTTATGCTCTTTGTTAAAAGGAATCTGATAAACTACGACCCCGTTGAACGTATGCGGACTCGTTTTTCTCATTATCGCTGGACAATACATAGTATAATTGGCCAGTTTCGCTAAAAAAAAAAGAAAAAAAAAAAGAAAACACTGTCAGACCGTCGAATGACTTATTCACATGTATGCCGGATTTCGTGTTTTGTATTGAAGCTTCGGATACTGCTGTAACGGCAAACGCTATCTATTTCTTCAAGCCGAATAAGATGCTAGATTATCCTACAGACTGGACGAGAGGTATCTCCGCTTAATAATCGGTAGCAGTTCTTTTCTCTTACACTGGACGTGAAAACTTACAAGGGAATTATAGGGATGTTGGATGCATCTTGCGCAAAATTACCTAGGATTATGATTCTTAATTACTATTTTTTTTATTTCTCACTTTGTTTCTTCGTTTTTACTAAACAAGTGTTATCTGTTTTTCGTGATTACTGCCTTTTGACTCGCGTGTTGTCAAGCCGGAAGTGGCATGAATTCTACTGCTTTTGCTGTCGCGGTCGATTGTGCATCGATGATGACGGAAAAGTTGTTATTGTTGTTGTTGTTGTTGTTGTTGTTGTTGGAGGTGGTGGTAGTAGTGGAGGAGGAAATGATGGTGGTGATGGTGGTGGTAACTGTTGTTGCTGTAGAAGTTGTTCCTGTTGGTGGGGTGTACTTGCTTACCATCACACTAGAAGGCTAGGCGTCAGCCAGTCCTCATCCGCTAGCTGGACCGCAACCAAGAACACACTTTACCATTTGAACACACAAACGCTGGTTAAATCTTGGTCCGAATTTCAAGAAAGTAATAGAAATATGCTCGACAATAGTCCTCTCTCTCCCTCTCTTTCACTCGTCTTCGCGCTCGTTTATGTGCTCTCTAACTTTTGCTTCCTTTCTCTCTTTCATTCATTCTCTTTCTCTTTCTCTCGCTTCTGTCTCATTCTTCACTCTTGCTTTTTCATTACAGTTTCTCACATTCTCCTACTACATGGATTCTAATCGATCTGAATCTACCTTCACCATGACTCAACCTCCACCGTGTGGCGCAACAGTAAATATGTAAAGATTGCATAATAATTATATAATATAACAAGTAGAATAAACTACTTGTATTATAATTTATCGCATCGGCGACGGCGCGTTAACCGCAAGATTAGGTTAGTGAGTTTTCATAACTCAATCACTGCTCAGTCGTCATTGGATAAATTAAGTTTAGACTACTATGAAATCGAATATTATAAATTGTTATGCTGATAAATTAGACGCGAATAGACACATTTTTCTTTTGCTTTCGTTTCTTACAGGTTTTCTTCCATTCCTTTTTGTTCGTCGAAAATATTATCCTTTTGCATAAAAATAAGCTGCAGTGAGTAATTTCAGGCTGAATGCGAGGTTGAGCCAGGTTGTAGATGCAGTTATCCTGATGCTAATTGATATTCGAAAGAAAGGATAAGCCAGGCCGTGCGATGATAGTGGTAGCGATCACTGTGCCTGCGAACCGAAATATGTAAATAAAGATAGTCTTTTTGAAAATTTCGAGCATCCCTTCCTGGATAGTGAACAACAAGAGTACTGAGTACAATATTATCACATGTATGTACATTTGATTTTTTAAATATAATTT